GATGCTGTGGCGTCGGGCTAGCATTAGGGTGGATATGCCGTTCAGTATATTCCATTCCCTTTTCTTGCCCAAGAGCGTAGCGGGGAGGGGGATGAGGAGAGTAAGGGTTAGTATTACTTGGCGCTTTGGGGGTCCCACGTCCCTTTCATAATCGGGCAGTCTACTTCTGTTAAGGTTTGGAGGAGCTCTAGGTTTTGGGTAGCCGGGAGGTGGGATACCATGGAGGGCGACCCCATGGCGCCTCTTACCTTTCCTACTTCATATTCAACTTACAGTAAGTTTTTTTCCCGATCTAGTTTTACTTGTGCATTTTGGTCATGGTCTTAATATATCTTGTTTGCAGGCTCTCTTCCGAGGTGTGAGATATCTGAGGAGGAGTGGGACATAATAAGTCAACTGTATCAGACGCCTCCATTGGAGAGGAGTTTCAAACAGATCATCAACAAGAATACCTACTTCGTCTCCCATGGACTAATGTCGAGCATAGGTAAACACCCCGCTTCAGCTCTTTTGGTATATGTTCTTATGTGAAAATACTTAACCAATCGTGCTGTTTGCGGGGGACTTTACAAAGAAGAAGGTGTCGAGGCCGGCTTTGCAACCATTCGCCGAAGTGTGGCAGATGCGAAAATGTTGAAGACAAGTTCGACTGCTAATAAGAAGCAGTCGGAGCGGCTATTCTTTCTCAGCAAGGCTGGGCAGCAGCCTTGCTGAAGAGATCGAGGCGGAGGAAGGAGCATCCCTTGTTCTGAGGACGAAAAAAGTCAGCCTAACCGGGCCTCTATTTTGCTCGATCCGACCTAGTTCCTCTTCCTCCACCCAATGTCGAGGTGATAGTTGCGATCCGTTCACCCACTCCTTAGGCCATTGTGCCGATAACTGTTTACTTTGCTGAGGGCCCTGCCAGAAAGGAATCGAAGATGCCTGCGGCAGCTCCGACCCGAGGCAAGACCACTAATTTTTTAGAGAGCAAAGACGAAGATCTCCCCGAGGTAATTTTGGAAATGTTGCCACCTGAAACTGCTTTTGCAGCCTAGATCCATGGAAAATATTGGACCGAGGATTGGCAAAATTACGCCGTCTCGTGTGACGTAGAGGATCCATTGGCTACAAATAAGGCTTGCGTGGCCAGGGCCCTAAATATGGGCGCAACGACGGAGGACCTGGTCAGAGGCCTCCATAAGCGGAACGATGAGTTGGAGGAGAAGTTGAAAAGCCTCAAAGATTTGGGAAGCCGAAGTGGCGAAGGCGAAGAAGAAAGTGGAGGAGGTAGATGAAAAATGGATAGCAATTCCTCACAACTGGATTAGACCGAGTTCCGAGCAAATCGGCTAAAGAACGAGCTCCATGAATCCGTCTCCCAAGTGACGGTTCTGACCAAGAGGGTCGATGACGCCAATGAACATCAGTGGATGGCCTTGAAGGCCTTGACGAAGGTGAATAAGGAGAGTGGCAAGCTGAAGAAGCTCACTGAGGCCCAAAATGAAAAGACAAACTCCTTGGAGGCTGAGGTGAAGACGGTGAAGTGGCAGTCCAGAATTACAAGGATAATTTTGACAAGACGCCGGAGTATGGTGACTTCGCCAACTTCTGGGCCCTTGGGCTGCCCAGGAGATGATGTCTCGCATGCACCAGAGGCACCCTGGTTTGGACAACGAGTTCCTCGAAGAAGAGTTCGATGGGCCAACGGAGGTAGCCCAATAGTTGAAGATGTGGAGGCTCAACAAGAGGAGGCCCAACAGGAGGAGGTGGTGGAGGTCGGGGCGATAGTAAATGTAGATTAGACTTCTTCTTTTGTTTTGTAATGGCTTCGGCCTCTTTCTGTGATGAATAAAATTTGTTTTTCCAAGTGTTGCTGCTTTACTTCTTAACTTCAATTGCACAAGTACCGAGTGTACCGTCGCATCTTCTATCATTGCTTCAGATAGACAACTAAGTTTAATCACCTTAACCATTTAATAAAATGGAAGAAGCCAATGAACAAAGTAATATCACATCGGCCTCGCTTAACCACTTAATAAATTGGAAGTAGCCAATGAACAAAGTAATATCGTATCGACCTCGCTTAACCACTCAATAAAATGGAAGTAGCCAATGAACAAAGTAATATCGCATCGGTCTCGCTTAACCACTTGATAAAATGGAAGTAGTTAATGAATCACTTACCTCGTAAACTACGCGTGTTTGCTACTTCATCAAAGATGGCACCCGCACCACCTCTGACTAGGTAGATTGTTTTATTGGGGATGACCCATGTGGAGGAGTTTGCACCTCGCCTAATGTTGTTTGATGATGCGTTGATGTGAGAGTGGAGTCAACAGAACATTGATTTATTTCATTTCAAAATTTGTAACATTACATGTTCCCTATGGTAATAATTCCTCAAATGTTCGATATTCCATGGGTGAGGCATCATCCTCCTGTCCAGATCCCCAATTTTATAGGTACCGGGCCTAATCTCTTCCCAATTCGGCCCCAAAGTCCCGGTGTTAGGATCTTTGGTCGAAGGGAAAACCTTGCGGAGTACCAGGTCTCCAACGCGAAACACTCTCTTCTACACTTTAGCATTGTAGTAACGCATCATCTTACGTTGGTAGAAAGCGAGCCTAACTTGTGAATCATTTCTTTTTTCCTCAAGAGAATCCAGCTCAAGCTTCCTCAGTTCATCATTTGTTATTTCATTGAAGTGGATACGAAGAGGAGAAGGAATGCCAACCCCTACAGGGCTCATCGCCTCAGCTCCGTAAGTCATGGAAAATGGAGTTTCCCCAGTGGCTGTCTTGCAGACGGTCAAGTCAACTATTGGATGAGGGAGAAATAGTGCAAGAGAAGAGACGGGAAGGGGAATTTGGATATGGATTCTGTTCGACCAGTTTTTGAGATCAATAGTTCTTACACAATTAGGATATTTGAATGGCTTCAAATTCGATAAGGTGTTGGAGTTCTTACACAAATAGGATTTTTGCATGGCTTCAAAATTGATTAGGACTGTTTATCCAATTTGGATTATAGTTCTGTTTA